TCCATGTGGAACTGATTTCACTAGATGTTATGGTTGAGAACTTGAAAATAATGTGGAAATTGATATATAATGTGTTCTGGGTAAAGCTGTAATCTATCTGAAATGATTCCTTCAGCAATTTAAAGGTGCATCTGGATTCATTGCTGCTCCTGCATAATATCAGACAGAATGATTTATTTTTTTACAAAATGTATTTATCGTGCTATTTTTTAAAAGAGGGATTATTCCTAATTTTGGTCATTTATGCTCAATTTGATTACTGTTATCTCCATATAAGGCTGGGGTTACTGTTGGTGAATGATTCTCCCTGCTAAAAACAGTCCACCTCCATGCTTGGAGTGGTTTGGGATTCCATGGTCTCCATGACTACCATGGTCTTATTTCACATCAGCATGGGCCTGACATCTACCAAAGATTACAGACTTGATCTGTTTTTAATTTGGAGCAGGGAGAATGTAATATGAAGGTACATACCTTAATCATGGTCAACATCAACTTCTTTGGGAGATGGTCCACGTTAAGCATCAGTTTGCCAGATTGTGGAATATAGAGGAATATATCCCTGGAATATAGAGATGACAAAGATACTAGACTGGGTTCTCCTTCTATGGCTTTTCTTTGTGTGCTGATCCTGGGTCAGCACTCCTTGATTTACTGAGAGGTTTCTGAGAAATGGAATTCCAGAGGAGCTCCCTGGACTGGGGTTAGTGTAAATGAACAACCAATCATACACAGATAAGCTTAGAGGCTGCACCAACGATGGTAAGCATAGTGAAGCGCCAGGACTTTTCCAAACATGGAATTCCCCTTATTTCCCTGTAGGGAACTAATCTACTAGCTACCGTGTTTCCTCAAAAATAAGACCCACCCAGAAAATAAACCCTAGCATGATTTTAGTGTGCGCCTAATATAAGCCCTATCCCCAAAATAAGCCCTAGTTAAGAGCCTGCCCACTCTGTCCCACCATCTGGTTGCTCGCTGCCGCAACAGGGCAGGAGGCCACTATTGCATGCTGGGGCTGTCACACGAGGCGATGAAGGTGGGCAGTGGAGCTGCCCCATGCACCCCACACCCGCACACCTCAGGGTTTCCACAGCCAGGCCACTCCCCACTCGGGGACTTCCGCCCGTTCAATGACTCGGCTGCCCATTCGCCTCTTCCCTTTCACTCCCCTCCTGAGCCGGACTGCCACGCTACGGAAGATGGGCAGGGGAGGCTCAGTCCCCTTACCTGGTCCCCCTCTGCCATTTCAGAGCCAGGGGGGAGTGACGGCAAAAGGCCTCCACTGCCGCTACATAACAGCTGTGTCAACCGCTGGAGGGGCTTTCTTCGGTGCCCGCCACCCCCGTTTTGCCCCACCCCATAGATCACCTGCCCGCTGGCCACCTCCTCCTCCACCTGCTGCTTGGGTTCTACAGCGCCGCTTCATGTTGCCTGCTCCCCATTCACCACCAGTATTGTGTGGTTTCAGTGGCAGCAGCTATGGAAGCCAGTGGTAAGCTCTCTGCATTGTCCCTGGGCGGGTGGTTTTGGCCCCCTGGCCCCCTTCGCGGCTCTGCCCATACAGGAGAGTTATACCAGGGCTGGCAGTGGGGGCGCTCCGAAGACCACATTGCCGTGCCTCGAGCTGCCAACTCTCCCATGGCTATGTGGGCAGAGCCGCGAAGGGAGCCAGTTTGTAGGCCAATTATGTTCAAACTCTGTTCCTAAGATTTGAAAAAAATATTGGAGGTTTCATCTAAAAAGATTAAATCATGGCAACTGGAACAATATTTGTTAATCTGAGACATTTCGTTATTCATCCAAGTAACTTCATCAATCAAAATTAAAAATTAGTTAGGCAGAGAGTCAGAGAATCGTTGGAATGTACTAACTCTTGCCATACCAACTGCAGGGGTTTCTCCCCAAAATGTATTTCAATATGTCAATGAAGACTCAATCATCCAGGCCAAAAGTATCTAAAAATGTTAAATTATGGCAAGTTTTAATCTGAGACGTTTTGTTACTCATCCAAGTAACTTCATCAGTCTTCATTGACATATTGAAATATATTTTGGGGAGAAACCCCAGCAGTTGGTATAGCAAGAGTTAGTACATTCCAACAACTCTCTGCCTAACTAATTTTTATTTTGACTGATGAAATTACTTGGAGGTTTCCATATTGGAGGTTTCTTTTCAAGAGCAGGTCCTGTCTTTATGAAATGACTCCTTTAACTTATTAGATTATCAAGAATTTAAGTCTTAAAAATTCAAAAGATAAGATTTAATATAATGACTAAGAAAAAATAAAAATTAAACACTTAAGTGTAAAGCTTGTACAACAGCAATATTAATTTTTTTAAAAAATATAGGACATTAGAGGTTACATTATATGTATGCAAATATATGTACGCTCTTGTCTTTTTTCTGTTTTTTTCTGTTGATGATTACTTCAATTATTAAATCATTTTTATTTTTATTAAGTTCCTTTATTTTCCTGCACATAAATTATTCTAATGATTTTTCGCTGATTATCTTGCAACCATCTCGCTTCAGTTTGGCAGATATCCACTTCATAACAACTATGAGCCTCTTGTTCTTTATGTGCTTTAACAAGAACATGATGGATCACACGATGTTGGCATTGTTTTATTTTATTTTGACAGGAAGAGGCTTTTGACTGTGAAGCAGCTTACCATATGCAATTTAGCTCTTCATGACTAACAACCTATCCTTCTGCTGTTTTATGTGCTGTAGAAGGTTCTTGCCATTGAACTTCTATTGCTGACAATATTTCTAAGCTCTTTTTTCTTAACAAATCCATGTACAGTAAATGTTTAAGAGAGTGCTCCACAAATAAGTCAGGCAAAAGCTCAGTCACCGTTAATGTGACATACTGCGACACTAACTTACATTCATATTCGGAATCTGTTGGGAATTCAAGTTGAGTAGATATAGGAATCCATAGTCTTACAAATAGGATAGTTCCAAAAGTTATCCTTTTTGGTTTATTTTAAGATCAAAAGTAGATTGTAAATTTGAATTATAGCATGATTAATGGATTTATAATATATGGTAAGTATATTATACGGTAGTAATATGCTAATAAGAATTTATCTACTATACAAATAGTAAAAAATAATGTTGACAATTTCAGAAAAACCTAGTGTCAGCTGTCCTAGGAAGTTTTTAAGAAGAAACTGGACAGCCATTTGTCCGAAATGGTATAGGGTTTCCTGCCTGAGCAGGAGGTTGGACTAGATGACCTCCGAGGTCCCTTCCAACTTTATTATTATTATTATTATTATTATTATTATTATTATTATTATTATTATTATTATTATATCTTATATAATTCATTTTAAAATGCTGCTTCTGTCATAAAAGTTGCATTTGAATTTTAGAACAGTCACAATGGTAATCAGGCTTATCCTTGATGTCTTTAAAGTTCCTTTGAAAATATACTTTTAGGAGTACAGCTAAAGTAGCTTGAAACACTAAGAAGCACACTACATTTTATAGGTTCTTTTAAGATTTTGCATTCTTACATCTCTAAATGAATATGGTTTGAATGATACCAGCAGTGCCGTCTTTACAAGGTTCAGTTCTATTTTTTTATGCCCAAAACAATCTAAATTTGCCCAAAGAAATATGTATTCAGTATAGATACTTTAAGATTTTATTTTATTTTCTATCTATAAAATCCCATTACTTTTCTGCTCTTAATTGAGGAATTATCCATGTGCCACCCCTTGTGCAGAAACGGGTGGATGGTGATCCACGTAGCATCTTTCATGTCGCTCTGACACAAAGATACCCCTCTAGATTGTTTTTAGGAGTTCCAGGCTAGCAGAATCATCATATTTCCCCATCATTTCTCTTTATGAATACTACATCTTCTACTCCAGGCAGAGCCAAATAGGACTAGATCCCTGTCATTAGCAACAATTGTGAAGATAGAATCATTAGAATTCCATCTCAGTTGCCAAGATGGCAGTCATGACCAAAGCTCTGCCCCTTTTTTCATGCATGCAACGTACATGAAAAAAAGGCTGGGCTTTGATTGCATGGCCTGCTTCTGCCATCTTAACTTTGTTTGGTCATGCCAGACTAAGGAGTGATTTAGTTTTTTCTTTCACAGCCTGTGGTTAGAAGTGTAGATATATTGCATGGAAAGAGTTCTTGTCTGATGTTGTTCATGAGATTAATATAAATGTTGTGTCAAATGGGAGTTAGTTATCAATTGTTTGGGAATTCTGTATTGTTTTTTTAAAGTTTGGTTAAGTTCTCTCCATAATTTTTTCCTCAGCAAGTATATAATTAGGTTCCTTTCTCAGCATATTCCAGAAATGAAAATGTTTTATAGTTTACTAATGTCACAGTCCTATATACCTACCATGATTGTTTTCTTTTAAGTAAGCATGTAAATAATTTCTGAAAGTCACTATTTACTTTTAATGTCATAGTTCTAAGTTTCTAAAAAAGAAAAAAATTCTGCTTTCTTAATACCAGGGGACAAAAAATCCTGTTGTATAATTCTACATGGTTCTCTGTTTAGCATCTAGGTCTATGTTTTATCCTAATCTTGTTTAGGGTGGTTTGCTTTACCTTTAATGGTTGTAAAGATTCTTAAGCAAAATAATCTGCCAAGTTTGAATTTCTAGTTTATGGTTTCTTAATCTAATAATGTAGGGACTTAGTTTTGATTCTTTCTAGGGGGGGGCATTGGATATACCATTGATCAATAATATAAATGCTATTGAACAACTGAATGTATTAATCCACAGAAATAAAATGATATATTTTCACACATTAATACAAACACATTTTTTGGTTCCAGGCTGAATTAGTCTATGATTCAGAGACTTGAATATAATATCAAGCCCTAACAATTATTATTAAATTACGTGAATGTTATATCATTTCTCTTTTTATTAGAGATTGTTAGGACTTGATTTAAATCCACTTGTGCCTTACCATTGTGGCTGACATTCTTACTGTTGTATCTTCCAGAAATATCTTCACGATCCCCAGAAATCATGTCAATAGGATCTCATTCATTCTCCCCAGGAGGCCCTAATGGGATCATTAGAAGTCAATCCTTTGCTGGTTTCAGTGGTCTTCAAGAAAGACGATCCAGGCAAGTATTATCTCCAAAGTCCAGCTGTAAACTGAAGAAAAACTCACATATCTCAACCACTTTGACTCTGGAGATCTGTTCTCATTTCGGGGTTATCTCTGCCTCTGTTGTAAATCTGACAATCTGTTTGTGATCAAAATAGCCACTTAAACAGGAATGGAAAGGAGGGGTGAAAATGAAACAACTTCTTCCCCATCCTCCATAATAAGATAAATAATAATAACTTAACGTTGAGTCAAACCATTTGCTTTGTTAAATATTTTGATTCTTTTTACGATTAGTCATACAGTAGGTCCTGGTAACAATTTACAGCAATATTTCATAAAGCTGAGATGATAAGTACATTAATATGAATAAGTCTCCATTAGTAAATGTAATTCTCTATTTAATACTGAGCATATTAGATCTCCCACAATGTGTATGCATTAGGGAAATATATAATGATGATTAGATTCAGAAACATGGCTACAGCCTTTTACAGCCAATCACTTTGCAAGGAGGTCCTAATGAATTTTCAAACCTGCAAACCAGCCCTGTCTTTTGAGGGAGGTCTATATTAAGTTGTTGTTTTTTTTGTTTTTTTGTTTTGAGAAATTCAATGTTTCATGTACTGTGCTTTTTTAATATAAGTGATCCTCCATTAATACTAAAACTGTTTCACTTTTTTTGATGGAAGTATTATAAAGGATTAAACTTGATGCTGGCTAAAGCTGCTAGGGAATGTCCCTGTACAAGTTTAATTCAAACGAGATAAGCAAATTCAGAGTTGCTTAGCTCACTGAAATCATGCTGTTGTTTTGTAATAATTTACATTTTGCCTGAAAATTAATTAAAATGGCTAATGACTGCTAAAGCCCATGGTGCTACTTACTGTTGTAAGTGACCAAACAAATAATAGCTATTCATCAAGCTTCTTCATTTTATTGAATAGGTATGGTGTATTTTAATTTGTTATTACTTCCACTAAATCTTTGCAGTGGGTCACAGTGCAGATGAATAAAATTGAATGATAAAAGCACTGGACTGGTTAGCAAGTTAAATATCTGTTGCTGACTAGCCAGTTACCACAGTGGCTTCATAACCCATCACCTTTTACTTCTCTGGCAGGCAACGTTAAGTTTTTTGCTTGGAAACATGAAGAAATGCTGCTGAGAAAATATTAAAATATTCCACATTTAATATATTTGTTTCCTAGGCAAAACTGTTTTAATTTTCATTTTGCAGATGTAATTCCTTTATTGAGAATTCCCCTGCACTCAAAAAACCCCAAGCCAAGGTGAAAAAAGCACATCATTTGGGGCACAAAAGTAACAGCTCTGCTAAGGAGCCACAGCCTGAAAGAATGGAGGAAGTTTACAAGGCCTTGAAGAATGGATTAGAGTAAGAGCTTTTATTACTGCTGGATGTATTGCTCAAAAAGGAAAAAAAAAATCAGTTCTGTGTGATAAACAAGAGCTTATCTACTGATGTCAAAGATAGCTAATCAGTTTCCAACCAGCAAAAGTACCTAGTTTGTTGATAGCCTAAGGACTGATTTGCACAACCCATAAGTGTTCAGTCATCTGGATTGTTTCAGTCCAACAGATGCCTTTTATCTTTTGTGCATAATAGCTACAAGAATCTCCACCTTTTGTTATTTCAGCTGATGTCCATATTATTCTGTGTTTAACTCTGGGGGCTATGGCATGCTATGTTAATGTCTTGCACTTAGCATGGTTTGTAACGATAATGAGAAAATTCTGTTTCTAACAGTGGCATGTTTCATCCCAGTGATATTAATTAACTGTTGGTCAATTTACTTTAGGGATTAGGCGAGAGTAGTGTTATGTAGGGCTTTTGTCAGTTGTCTTTGAAAACTAGAAAGAATGGCATGGCATGTCCATTGTGTTCTGACCATTTTTAACTGATTTTTATAAACTCATCTTTTTTCTAGTATCATTTTTTTTCCATAGCAGCTGCAATTGCGACATACTAAAACATTGTAAGAATGAGAGAACCTGTATGGTTCTCTCAAATAATATGGTTGTTAAGCAGACTAAAGTGTGATTCTGATGCTAGAGGTCATTGCAGCTTTCGGTAGTCCTCTGAGGACACAGTGAACATAAAAACAGAATAATAAACTACAGCATTAACTATATGTTAAAAGATATCCGTTGTTAATTATTGTGTTTTTTTTAATAGTGAAACCTATAAAATGTTTCTGTCTTTTACATTCATATGTTTGTGTTGTGTGTATAACAAGTAAAAATACAAATTTGGGGGGACTTAAGCTGCCTGCTTTTCAAAATGTCTTACTTTCATGTTTCATATCAGTTCTGAGAAAGTTTTATGCATATCAGTAATTTTTATTTACATTTTATAAATCACATCTGTAAAATTTGACTTTTCTGTCTTCCTTTCCACAGATAAACTGCATTTATGAGTAAAATTGTCTATTTCAGACAAATATTTACTCTATAAAAATAATTTCATCTTTAAAAACTTGTGTTTTATTTATTTAGATTTATATGGAAATATAACATTGCTGATGTTTCAATTTTGGATTTTCTTTACAGTGAATATTTGGAAATACATCAAACAGAACTGGATAAATTAAGTACTCACTTGAAAGACATGAAAAGAAATTCACGGCTGGTATGCTTGTCTACTCAGAACAGTAGAGAATTCTGTGCTAAGCAAGGAAATTAAGAATTGGGTTTTAACGTTGGGATGCTGCATATGAAACTAGGCTAATTATGCCTTATAACAAATATAATGCATATTCTGCCACTTCAGGCATTTGATTGTAAATATCCCCATATTGCCAGGATGATGATATATCAGATCTCTGTTTTCACAAATATGTTTCCCCCTACCCCCCCTAGATCTGTATCATACTATTTCAGCATTTACTGCACAAGTCATTGTTAGTGAACAATGCATATCATTTTTGTATATTAATGACTTTTGCAAAGTGAGAGGAAAAAACTGGGAAAAAAGATAATTAATCTAGTTGTAAAAACTAAGTACAGTACTCCAATCAGTTATTATAACCACTTTCCTCAAAATAGACAATTATGGTTGTTGTTTTTTAGATTAAATATGTTTTAGACCAGAGGTCCCCAACCTATGGGCCATAGCCCACTACCAGGCCATGGCCTCTTGGTCACCAGGCCGCGTGAATAGCTGGGCAGTGCATGTGTGCACATGCTCACCTTCCCCCCGTGCCACCGTTGCCACAAGTTGTGGGCAGCAGCAGCACCACTAGTGTCACGCAGGCGGCGGCATTGCCACAAACCTTGTGCGGGCGGCAGCAGTGTCTTGAGTGGCAGGTGGGTGGTAGCACGCCACATGTAGGCGGTGGCATTGCCACGAACCTTGCATGGGCCACAAACAACAGGCAGGCCGTGGCACGATCCTTGTGCAAGGGCAGCAGCTCGATCCTCATGCCAGTGGCAACATCGCTGCAGGCTGCAGCACAAGCCTCACAGAGGTCCGGCGTCGCTGAGAGCCTCAGCGCATGCTCACAGCCCCGTTTGTGTGGTGCACATGCTCACGACCTGTTTGTGCATTGTGCGTACGTGTGACCACATTCATATTTGCGCATGCATGCGTAAGGCGCCTGCCCTTCCCTCTCCCACCGGGCCACCAACCCAGAAAGATTGGGGACCCCTATTTTAGACAGCATGGGCCAGAGTTCACTCTTTACATGAGTGATTACAACAATGTCATGAAACCATTTTATCTGTTTGTCTATGCCTTTGCATGTAAAAGTTTTCTGGAAAATTTAGAACTGAATTTGTGTTTCCCTATTTCTTCTTACCCTGGACTGTCTGAAAAAAAATGTCACTTTTAAAATGATACTTATTTATTGCAGTTGATTCATTTTGGCTCAATTATATTAGGGCACTACATTTAAAACCATGTTTTCTTCATTGAAAGAGCATCTTATTTTTAGTAATATATTCATTTCATTCATTTCAGGGGGTGCTATATGAACTTGACAAGGTAAGTGATTTGTAATAACTATATTTCAGTAGACAAACAACCTCAGTTCTGTGTAGTAGCAAAGAAAAATCTACCTGATAATTGGAAATTGTGGGTGTTGTAGTCCCAACACATCTTAAAAGCTGGAGAAGGCTGCAGCATGGCATCACATTAGTCAGAGGACTCACAGGGCAAGAAATCCTATCTATCATTTATCCTCCATTTATTTTGCAAACACCACTTTCAGTCCACAAAATCAATTTCAAATAAAGTGATTTGAACATTCTTGCCTAAGGTGATTGTAGGGACATCTCAGTATGCGCATAAACTATTGATTGAGAGTGTGGTTTGGAACCCTATTATATAGTAACTTGAGATACATCTAATGGAACTGGGAAGACTTGTTTTGTCCCAAACCATTAGTGATTATTTTGTAAATTTAGAATGAAATTAAAAGCACTTTAATTCTGGTTCTCTTCTTGGTCCAGATGGAGCTGAAGCTTCTCACTTTTCAAGGAAAGTCTGAATTCCTTTTGAATATCAAATCGGTCTTACAGTATTTGAGAATATTAGACATTACGGAAAAGTATGCATTGATTCAGCTAAATTCAGATATCTGTTCTTATTTTGATTGTTTTATTTTTCAGCAAATGAAAGCAATTGAAAGATACATGAGAAAGCTCGAGTTTCATATCAGTAAGGTAATTAACTTCCTTTCGTTCTATTTCCAACTTTGTTCTTCAAAAAAGCCTGTCCAGCAATACTGTATCTGGTGGTCTAGAGAAAACATCTCACAAAGCAATTCTTTAGATTAAGGCTTAGAAGTAATCTTATGCAAATGAGCAGAAGACACTAGTATAGCCTGTAAGGGAATTTGCGATGCCCCTGAAGGTGTTCTCATTCTTACCAAATCTGTGTCAAACTGACCTGGAACAAAAGGAAATGAGGTGAGATAACAGAATTAATGTACTATTAACAGCCTTATCTTTCCCTGCCTGAAGGATAAACACACTTCTAGATGGAACATTTCTTTTTGACAGAAACCTTGTCTTCAACTGAGCTTTTAATTTCTTTTTCCTTAGGAAAAAAAATAATCCAATTCTGTTTATTATCAGAATATTTACAATACTTTATGAATGGTCATCCCCTATTAATAATTCTTTATCTCCCTATCTGTATTTGCATGATACATAATATGTGTGTGTGCATGGAATCACATAGGCATATTCAGAGATTCGTTACTCTTTCATTTGTACAATAATTTTTTTCACACCACTAAGTGCAATAAAGCACTTTATTCAGTCATGCTGAGTGCCTATTGCTGAAGGCCATATTTTAGGACATGAGTGTCTATTGCTGCCATTTGTATTTTGAAAATGGTGCATGTAACTGAAATGAAGTTAGCTGTAAGGCTGCTACATGAGGCTGACCTGCACTTAGATTATAGTCTCTTTTTCTATACTAGTAGAAGTCAAACAGTATAGAATTATCTTATGACATTTTAAAAATTCTACCTTCTTTTATGGGACATTCAGAACATAAACCTCTTATTTATTTTATGCTCATAAATCAAATATTCATCAAGAAAATAAATCTGAAATAGTATGTTTCCTGCTAGCAAGCTCATGTGGTGGGTACTTTGTGTTTGAATCCCTCCTACTCAGAACAAAGTGATTTCAATGTTTTACATAAGACTGAGTTGCTACAGAGCTAAATCCACATCCAAATTGCACAGTATGTTAGCTTGTTGTTCTGTAACCCATGGTAACAAACATGGAGAACTTTATGTGAAGCAAGGTTTTTAGAAGAAAACACGAACTATTGTAGTTGAAAACATTTCAAGGAAAGTTGCACAACTTTGATCAGTATGACAAGCAATGTGCATTAGCCTTCCAGTGAAAGCTGGGACCTGAGTTTATCAAAACTTTCCCTTCATTTCCTTCCTTTACACCAGTACTGTCGAAAACTTACAGTGTCTACCCAAACACCATCTAGACGAGTTCAACTGTTCCCCTTTTTTACATGACAAAATACCATGTATATGTCGTCAGAACAATTATCTGTATTTATGACATTGTACTGCTTATAATACCAGTCCATGAGACTAGAAGTCTACGTATATTAGACCAATAGATAACAATTTTGGTAGTTACAAAGAGTTTATTTATAGGCATCTGCATCTTATAGGAATCTACACATTTTTCAATAAATATATCCTGCTGCTGGATCTGAATTGTTTCAGGCTACTATATCTGAACTGTTAAAATCCAAATGGCCACTAGACAGCACCAGAGAGTTAGTGTTTCTATATTGAGAAGTCTAAATTTTTGCAGCCCACATTTGATAAGTGTAGGGCTGACATTTTATAAACTGAAGAGCCTTTTCATAAATGGAAAGCATTAGCATGTAATGTTCCATCTATTTAAGTAATTTTTCAACACAAACATAGTAGGAGAATCACAGTATCATTTCCTTGCTCTTTCTCCAGATCTGACTCTAACAGAAGTGTTTCTCCCGTCTTTTGTCAATGTTTTTCTTCATGCAGGTGTTTTATATGTCTTTATAGGTTTTGTTTGCCTTTTCTATATCGGTATCATATTGCTTATTAGATAGATAGGCAGGCAGGCAAGCATTGTTTATTTAGTATGTTTCTATCCCACATGACTGGCTGGGGAATTCTGGGAGTTGAAGTCCATACATCTTAAAATTGGCAAGATTGAGAAATACTGTTGTATGATATATGTTATTATATATGGAACTATATATCCTTTCATTTCTATTGAGCTGGTACAGGTAATTTTTCAACATATGGCCATAGTGGAGCCTGCCGTTTATGGTTGTAAGTCATAACAGTCATAAAACCGAATGGTTGATTTTATGTTATTTGCGGTGGTTGTTAAGCAAATACCATGTTCATTAAGTGAACCAATAGTTCATTATGGGTGCGGTTTTGCCTAAAACTAGAAGTGTCAGTTTTTGGCAAAACTGTTATAAAATTTAGTCATGTGATGGTAGGATGCTGCAAATGGTCTTAAATGTCTAGTGCCCAAAGTTCAGACATGACCATCAGAACTTTGAATCAGGTCATAGGTAGCCCCGAGATGGATCCATTGTAACTTCAAACGGTCACTAAGTGACCAATCGTAGGTTGAGGGCCTTCCTGTATTCATTTTTTGAGTGCTTTCTTTGGGTCTGCCTAGTATGTAAAATCTGCTGATACTGGTAAGTGGATTCTGTGCCCTTACATCTAGTTACTTTTTTTTTGTTGTTCCTGGAAACTACCACTTCATAATGCTTTGGTAAGGCCACACTTGGAATACAATTTTGGTCACCACGATGTAAAAAAGATGTTGAGACTCTAGAAAGAGTACAAAGAAGAGCAACAAAGATGATTAGGGGACTGGAGGCTAAAACATATAAAGAGTGGTTGCTGGAATTGGGTATTTATTATTTATTTATTTATTAAATTTATATACCGCCCTATCTCCCTTACGGGACTCAGGGCGGTGAACAGGCGATACTAAAAACCACAATAATAAATAAATAGTTTCTGTGCTAAAATCGAATTAAATAACAGACCTGTTCTAAAAACACCCCATACAAAACCCCCACTAAAACATAATCAAACTACGCCAGGCCGGCCGCACGGAATAGATGGGCCTTCAGGACGAGGGGGGACATGATAGCAGTGTTCCAATATCTCAGGGGCTGCCACAAAGAAGAGGGGATCAAGCTATTCTCCAAAGCACCTGAAAGCAGGACAAGAAACCATGGATAAACTAATCAAAGAAATAAGGAGAAATTTCTTGACAGTTAGAACAATTCATCAGTGGAACAACCTGCTTCCAGAAGTTGTGAATGCTCCAACACTGGAAGTTTTTAAGAAGACAGTGGACAACCATTTGTCTGAAATGATATAGGGTTTCCTGTCTGAGCAGGGAGTTGGACTAGAAGACCTCCAAGGTCCCTTCCAACTTTTTATTATTATTATTGTTGTTGTTGTTGTAGCTACTACATATTTTTCCCTCATTGCATATCTTCGTGCTATATCCTACAATGTTTCAGAAAGTCATCTAATCATTCGAAAAACAGAAAAAGGTTAGAGTACAATGGGGAATCAATAAAAATCAAGCCCTTTGCTTCCTGTGAGTGGAAGTGTTTTCTACTTATATCAAAGTGTCATTGTACATAATGTACTGTAAGAAGTGATAATTGTGTTATTTTGTCTTGCAAGAAATATATTGTACCTATATAGAAGGAACAAAAGGATTTTTTTGCTATTTAAATGGCAGAACAATTCTATGCATAGTTCTTGGAACCACATTTCTTTTTATTTCTTGTCTGGAAGTTAGTTCCACTAAACCTAGTGGGCCTCTGTTCTGAAGAAACAAGCATAAAATTAATCTGTAATAATTTGTCTTGTAGGAATGAAACAGTTGGGCTTTGATTTCCAGTATTTGCTCAGTACTGTGAATGAGATCTTATATTGTCGTAATATTATTCTCCTTTTCTTCTTAAACAGACTACAGTAGCATATTGCTGTCTTTTACTTATTCTGAGAATTAAATCACATTATCAGAATGGGAAATTATTAAGTGCAGCTATTACTATTAGTTTTGAGAGAATCTTTAATGAAAAAAATGTTTGCATAAAATTCAAATGACTGATCATAATAATAGTTGATTGTCTTCCATTATTCACGGGGGAAGTGGAAGTATTGATTTTAGAAAAGTAGTTGTTGTGAGACAACAAGAGAATGGAGTCATTTTACACAGATAATTTATTTTCAGTACAAAGACACCATCATCACTGAAATTGTTTGCTCGCTTTTTTCTATGAATCACCATAGTCTCACCTGGATAATTCAAACATCTTTTGATCCAGCCCCCCTCCCCGAACATCTCAATTTTGCTGTTTTTCTTCCTATCAGGTAGATGAACTCTTTGAAGCCTACTGTATCCAAAGGCGGCTCCGTGATGGTGCCAGCAAAATGAAGCAAGCGTACGGGTTGTCCCCTGCTAGCAAGGCAGCTCGAGAGAGTTTATCAGAAATCAACAAAACCTATAAAGAATATACTGAGGTATAAAATGATCTACTTTTTGTTTAGACTTCCTAAATTGAAATTTTGCAATTACTTGCAATAGAAAGATTCAGTTGTTGTGGAAAAAAATAGATTGTGGATTTTTTTTTAAAAAAAATCATATCTTAAATAAATTTTATTATCAATAATGTAAATCCGTCGTAACACATAAGACGGTATTTTTATCATCGGACAAAAATCGTGAACTCCTGACTAAAGTTTTTTCACGAAATCTCGTTTAAATTCGTTCTGATATCCTCGGTAAACCCTGAGTAATTTTTGATAGAAAAAAGATCTTCTTACGAAAACGTAAAACATAATGCTGCACAATCCCAGGAAAAGGCACCATAGTTTTAAAAAGCTGTAGGCCAGTGCACCATTTTAAAATCAAATCCGAAACACTGCATTGCAATTCACTGCACTGTTAATAGTTTGTAAAGCAAAGGTCCCCTTCCAGAATACAGAATTTTAGGATATTTGAGTAACTCAAAGTGGAATATTAATATCCCTGCAGATATTAGTCAGGATTTGCTTTTGCATCAATCATGACTATTTTAGTAATTTTAATTAAAATCAGTTTCTTAAAACTTTTGGTATAGAATTGATCAAATATATATCTAGGATACATGTTTACTTAATGAAGTTAATGTTTTATAATATGTGATGGAAATACAATAATTTATAATATAACAGGATTACCAAAACGAACACCGCTCTGATGTGGAAATTAATGAAAATGCTTAGTCCTATGTATGAAGAGTGCCTGTATATGTATTTCATTGGGTATCTTTGCAACTGAAAGAAACTATTCACCATATTTTTCAAATGTCCTGCTAGAATATTTGAACCCATGGACAGAAAAAATGGTTGCTATGTGGTTCATTTCAATAAAACTCAGTGATCTTGAAGAAACTAATGGATTTTGATCCTCGGGTAACCAGGAAGGCATAATTTCCAAGGGAACAGTCCAGTGGTGGGATTCAAATATGTGAACAGCCGGTTCTCTGTGTGGATGCCGCTTCCGCAAGTCCATTCTGGCCTGGGCAACAAAAAATTAGCTAGCTACCGGTTCTGCCGAAGTGGTGCGAACCGGCTGAATCCCATCACTGGAACAATCCAATACACTGATTCTCTCTCTCTCAAGCTCTCTCTCTCTCTCACACACACACAAAACTATTATTGTAAACTCAACTAAGGCTTACTTCAGAAATCACTACATTATAATTAGTGGCAATGAACACAGTTCTATGTGTTTTTAAGGTAACTTTATATAGTTCATTTGGAATAGTTGATCTGATATTAGTCTTCTGTTTTCCTACATAGAACTTGTGTGCCATTGAAGGAGAGCTGGAAAATTTAATGGGGGAGTTCTGCATCAAGATGAAAGGTAATTATCTTGCCTCTCATGCCATTTTCCACACAAACATCTCAGCAAGAGATCTTTCTATGTGGTTTCTGACAGCCACAGAGAGGACAGTTGAATTCAGATAAGAGGTGTTTTCTTTCGCTCACCTCTTGGGATATAAAGTTTTCCAAATAATTCTGCTTTGTTTCTAAAGCAATCAAAATGTCTCATGTTCATTAAAATGGCAAGCACTTACAGAAAATGTTATAAATTTTTTTGGCTTGCTTAATGGTTAAAAGGTTAAAATACCTTTTAAGCTCAAAACTAAATTATACTTAAAATGTTATTATTTTTTGCATACATTTTATTACACCCTTGGAGGATTAAAAAAAAGTCCCATCGCTAGAAATTGTAAATATTGATATTTCTTGAGGGTTCTTGTTTTAGACTTTGGCTATTGTCTTCCCTTCCCTTTTTTTCTTTTTTCTTTTTCTGCATATGGGGAAATAAAATGGAATACCACCCCAAAAATAGAAAAGATCACTTTTATCTCTATTTTAACTTTCCAAAATTAAAAGTGCTGATCATCCTTTTGCTGTTTATTCAAAAAAAAAAAGATTTAAAATCTAAAACTTGTACAGGTAGTCTTCAACGTATGATTATATAACTGAGCCCACAATTACGGTCATAAATCATGGAGACCCCTCATCTTAACTAGACCTTAATTAACTCATAATTGAAAAGCTGTGGTAGTCCCTATTGCAATGCATTTCTTATAATAGGTATCCAATTACAAAATGTTGATTGTCCAAGGGGAGACATAGATTTATTTGATACTCAATTTAATGCCACCAAAATAGTTACTTCTAATTGCAGACAAGGCCATAAAATTATTTCTTTTTTTTTAGAAGCTTTCTCGCTGAAGAATGCAAAATATCAATTTCACCAATATTACTTATCTTTGATGTTTTCATTTTTCATATGGTACTTTTTATGGTTACTGTAAATGAAATGCAATGATTTAGGCTATATTTTCTGATATTTGCTGAATACATAAGGATCTGTTTCTCGACATCTGAGTGGCCTGTTCCCACAAGAGGATGAATAATTTTCTTCTCAGCATATTGTTATTGTAGAGGATTCATTTTTCTTTCAGCATTATCCTAAATCATGCATTGCATTAAAGATAACATATATTTCCACTGAGAGTAAGAATGGATGTCAACACTAACCGCAGGAACAATTGCAGGAGTCTAGAAACTAGAGGTTTAATCCTAGCAATACCCAGCATGATTTAATATGAAATATAAAACTTTGAATGTTAACCTGCTAAGGTATGTTGGAGCAGTTCCATATCAAGCTAATGCAGTAGCATTTCTAAAGCCAGTGTTCCTTAAGGAAAAATTCCTTATTCATTTTAATTTGTTTTCTCCCACTTTAATTTGTTTTCTCCCACTTCATTCAGAAATATATATGCTTAAAGGCAAGTAACAAAAATCAGACTGTAACATTAAAGTATCAAAAGGAAAAGCCACCTGCAGAATATTAGTAAAATTTTAAAGTCTATAAATACTAAATAAATCAGAATGGGAATGGGGATCTTAACCCAAAGGAGAATAATTTTGTTCTGGGATTTAGAGTGCTGCTCAAAGATTTAAGATATGATAACACAGTGATGGCGAACCTTTTAGAGCCCGAGTGCTCAAACTGCAACCCAAAACCCACTTATTTATCGCCGGGTGCCAGGTGGGCGTGGCTTACTGGGTGGGCATGGCTGTGGTCATGGCAGACTGGGTGGGTGTGGCCAAGCTGGCGTGGTCACCTCAATGTTGTTCGTGGGGAGGGGCGCTTGTGGGGGCTGGGCAGGGTTAGGGAGGGGGTCTCTGGCAAGTGGGGCGGTGGGCAGGAGGCTTGTCCTGCGGGGTGAGGCTGGGCAAGGCGAGGCAGGGCAGGGGTGCCATTGTCGCAGGGCAAGGTGAGGCACGGGCTGGGGCGGCTGCTGCCTGACACCATTGGCCCCCGCACATAGAAGCCAGCGAGTGCATGGGGGCCGACAGTGTTCGTCAGCAGCCACAGCCTGCTGGCCCCTCGACTGGCGCACTCTGGGGCTCCGCAGCCCACCACCAGCAGTTCAGAGAACCGTCTCTGAGCTGGATGGCCAGCCAACAGCTGAGGAGGCGATGCAGTGGGTTGTGCCCGGGAAAAGGAGAGCATGCAAGGCCAGGAGGGATGGGATGGAGGGGGGAAGGAGGGAAACCAGCCATGCTGGGATGCATCCAGCCACGTGGGAGCTCGGCGAATTAGCGGGTGGCTGGTTGAAGAGGGACGGTTGCCATCTCCAGGGCATGGTGCGTGTGCCCACAGAGAGGGCTCTGAGTGCCGCCTCTGGCACGCGTGCCATAGGTTCACCACCACTGTGATAACATATTCACAGATGGAGGAAGCTTATCGTTTTAGCTTTAAAAAGTGAATAAGAATCTCATTTGCTCTTAGTATTCTTGTTTGAATAAATACGATGTGACGTAGAAAGAAAGTCAGTTCACGTAAATTAACAATTTTTGGTTTCAGGAAAGCTGATTCTTATTTTTGTCTGTGATCTAGAATTTCTTGATGAATATTTCTTGGCTGAAATAGAAACTATTTTTGTACTGCTGAATAATCAGAAGAGTATTTTTGTTGTGGAGAGGAACTGGTTCATATTTATGACCGTTGCTGTGTCTCAAGGTCATGTGCTCGCTTTTTGCGATCTTCTAATGAGCAAAGTCAATGGGGAAGTTAGTTTCACATAACGACCTGGTTACTAACTTATCAGCTGCAATGATTCACTTAACAGCTGTGGCAAGAAAGGTTGTAAAATGGGGCAAACTCACTTAACAAATGTTTCACTTAATAACAGAAATTTTGGGCTCAATTGTGGTCGCAAGTCGAGGACTATCTGTATTCCATAACCCTGAGCCAATTTGGACAGTAGTAAGGATTGGTGGGAGTTGCACTCTTAATATATGTTAGAGAAACAGTACACTGTCTGTTAACATTGTAACTATTTTAACTATATGCCTATGAGTCACACATGCATTTTGTGCTTTAAAAGTGACAACAAAAAGTAGGTATCCCATAATAACGTAACTAAAAGACCTAGTAAAAGAGTAGACTTATTTCAGTTTCTCCAATCATTACTTTTTTGATGCAAAGAAAGATTTAAATCCTTGTTCAGTTATGAAATTTACTATGTTTTAAAGGACATCTTGATCCAAATGTAATGAAAATCATGGTTTCCAACTCTGACAATTAGATTCATATCCCAAGCCATGTTTGTGCCAAAAGAATCTGAAAACTTTTGTGTATAATTTAAGTTAATTTTCCATTGATGCCAGTTAAGGAAAAGTAATTTGTGTAGGCCAGAGGAAGATAACCTGTAACTATTGGCTACATGTCCAACTGCTCCCATTCTTCTTTTCTTACATATCCTCTTGCTTATTAAGACCTCAATTGCTGTTACCTCTGCCATTTTCTTAAAAGGCCCCATTTCAGGTGGATGTATAAACCATTCCATCTGATTCTCTTGTTTGGCTTTAAGCAGATTCTATACTTCTATACTAGACAGCATTCTTTACAAGGAATAGGAATCCATAGACTTGAAGTAAGAAAGACAGGTTGGTCTAGTCTAGTGGCTAAGGCACCAGGCTGGAAACCAAAAAAACATGGGTTCTAGTCCTGCCTTGGGCACAGAGCTAGATGGATGATCTTGGGCCAGTCACTTTCTTTCAACTCTAGGAACCAGGCAATGGCAAACCATTTCTGAAATCTTGCAAGAAAACTGTAAAACTGTCCAGACAATTGCCAGGAGTCAACATTGACTTGAAGGCACCCTCTTCCTCCCCTAAAAAAAGCCTTGTTACACGCTGGCACTAAAAATTAAAATGGCTCCAGTAACTGCAACATTGAGGGTCTGGGAAGAAGAAAAATCTGAACCAGGTTTACATCTCATGATTGCTGTGAGCATGGGAAAATGGTTATTGAAACAACTGGGTATTGGTTAAAAATAAATGAATGGTGCCTTATATTGTATCATCATCATCTTCATCATCATCTGTACTGTTTGATTATCTACAGTACTAGGGTCATTCACCTATTATCATACTTTTTAATAGATTTCCCCTAAAGCATTTGATTGAGATTAAAAAGGAGTTGTAATTAATGAAGATTACAAATATTTAAAAAAACTAAACCAGTAAAAAAAAATATTGATCAGCAAGAATTTATGAGGCACTGCCGCCACCTAGAGATCAAAAAGTGTGTTCCAAGGATTTCCTTGTTGCTCCATACAGCTAAACCCAGTCCCTTCACTGTAGCATTTGTTTTATGTATGTGTGTATGTGTTTGAGAGAGAGAGGGAGAGACTTAGATGAGAGTTTTAATAGATACTTAGCGTTAAGTCATGGTTTTTCTACTGCAGCTAGAATATTGAATGTAGTTCTAAACGCCACATTTCAGAAAGACATTAACAATCTAAAGCAGGGGTGTCAAACTGATGGCCCGCGGGCCGGATGCATCACGCGCAGGTCACACCCACCCCGACTCCACAAAGGAAAAAAAATGTTGCGATACGTCACAATAAATCATGTGATGCGATCAAGTTTGACATCCATGACCTAAAGCATATAGGAACTATACTGATAAAGAGATAGGAAAGAAAAATCTGAGGATTGGTCAGAGTATGTGGGGTATATATAGTATGTTGGGAAGCTGAGCCAATTAACTATAGAATCAGTTTTTGCTTCAGAGAAAACACTGTGATAATAGTTTGCAAATCAGAAATTGCAAATCGATGATTTTTCAATTAGGAGAACTCCCAACTCTTCTCCTTCCCATCTCTTGAGGTTTCTCTTCATCTCTGGAGAGTCCCCCCAAGTTTATATAAGGATTTCACACCTAGAGTTCTAGGACTTTCAAAGGAATTAAATATATCTTTAAAAGTAAAAGAAGGTCCATATTAATTGGGTTTAATATGTATTTAAAAAAATAAGCATAGTAAAAAAGTTTCTTTTTCTGCTCACTTTAGATCTATATAATGACATCTATTTCCAGGGACAGAGTTGCCCAAAAGTTAACATGAGAAAAAGATAAAGCGAATGATATTACTTTAAATGAGAAATGATAGCTAAATGCATTCCTTATTTGAACAGAATTTAGTTTCTTCATATGAATTAGAAAGTTATATTTTAAAGAGATTTGTGATTTTTTAAAGACATTAATACTCAGATTGTGCCAATTGGGCATGCAGAATTCAAGAAGTTAGATCAGTGGTGGCGAACCTATGGCACGGGTGCCAGAGGCGGCACTCAGAGCCCTCTCTGTGGGCACGCATGCCGTCGCCCCAGTCCTAGGCCTTCAGCTGGATTTTATAAAACCTTTTTGCTTTAGGCCTCCACCGCCATGTGCAAAAAAAAAAAAAAAGGTTCAATCAATGAGTCAATTTCAGCTTCTCGCGGGGAAAAAAAAGCTCTTGCAAAGTTGGAATTGATTGATTGAATTTTTTAATCCCACCCAGTCTGCCGTTACCACCGCAGCCACGCCCATCCAATGGGCCACACCCACCCAATTGGCCACACCCAGCCAATGGCCACACCCACCCGGCACCCGACAATGCATAAGTGGGTTTGGGGTTGCAGTTTGGGCACTCGGTCTCTAACAGGTTTGCCATCACTGAGTTAGATACTGATAGTTTGATGGTGTTCTCATGCATTATATTAACTCTTGCAATAGCAAACAATCAAGTTTCAGTCATTACTATTCTCGGTCCTTCAGAGAAGATGAATGTGGAAAACAATCATTTTTATTAATGAAGAGAAAAGAATAAAATGGGCTCTGAAAGTTGCTCCCTTAGATTCATAAGTGCTCTGGCAACATTGTAGGGTTTGTCATTAACATAAAAGGAGACAACGCAAACATTTCATCTGAAACACTTCTCAAACATAAGCATTTTATCTGAAACAGTTTTTAACTGTTATTGGCTTCTAGGTCTGGCTGGCTTTGCTCGACTTTGCCCTGGAGACCAGTATGAAGTAAGTAACTTTGTAAATGTCATTTTTCATCATGCATTTCTTACTGTTCTCATGTCCTGTACAGCAAGAAAGGTCCCACTATTCTCTGTTTATGGATGAATGCACTCTGAACAGTTCCCACATAAAGACTATGAAATTGGTCCCAGAGAGCTGATTGATGCCTTGCAAGATAACAACAGATCTTTCTTTAGTTTTGTCTTGGAAGCATGTCAGCAGTCTCTAAATATTTTATTCTTGGCATAGGTTCTTTCCCTCTTGTGGCTCTCAAATCTAACTACGACAGGCTGAGTAGAGCAGATCAATAGTTCAAGTCGGCTGCCCTTTTTTTCTCCAGAGATAGGTATTTTATCTTGCCGACAAGTAGTAAGGTGGAAATTTAGAACAAAGAACAAGAACAAAGTCATATCTCTAGTCTGAATACTTTGTGATTCTGCATTTATGCATCAGGTTGTAACGCTTCATAAAATAATATTTATGCTAACCTTGTGTAATTTTATTTTTTATTTATGCATTAGATTTGTTTGTAGCCCATCTCACTTTGAGGTGACTCTTTTTTTCTTTTTTGTGATGTTCTAGAGCAGGGGCAGTCAACCTTGGCTCTTTTATGACTCATGGATTTCAACTCCCAGAATTCCTGAGCCAGCCATGCTGGCTCAGGAATTCTGGGAGTTGAAGTCCATGAGTCATAAAAGAGCCAAGGTTGACTACCCCTGTTCTAGAGTGATGTACTAAGAATCCTATCCAGTTTTTTCTTGGAAGTATATGATTTGCGTTATTTTCCAATCCAAAACAGAACCAGGTCCTGTAATACATTGTAGCAAAACCATTAATTCTGTTGGGATCTTTACTCATTGTGATCGATTCAGAATGGTAAAATGAGAACAAGGTATGTATGAATATGACCAGTAAGATCACATTTTGTTTTCACAGATATTTATGAGGTATGGTCGTCAAAGATGGAAACTAAAAGGCAAAATAGAAGTCAATGATAAGCAAAGTTGGGATGGAGAAGAAATGATCTTCCTCCCCCTTATTGCTGGGCTAATCTCCATTAAGGTATTGATGTACTGTTTACTTATTAAATATATTGCCTGCCTTTCTGTTTACAATAGTTAAAACAAAATGCAAATATAAAAGATGACCTCAACATCGGTGGAGTTAAAATCAATTAACAGTTAAAGGCTTTAGAAAAGAAAAGAAATGGATTTTCAGCTTTCCTAAATATAATTGTAATGTAACTGTAATATTGTCAGCCCTCCCAGGTGAATCAGACAGGAAGCAGGACTAGATGAAGTAATTCTCTTTATTGTAAGGTTACATGAACAGAATCTTGTAAATCTGAAAATACAAACTTCTCACCTGCCATTTTTGACTGCCTGAGCTATGAGGGCAGGTCTTTTCTCAGTTTCTTTCTGTGCTGTTAAGTGATTGTGGGCTCCTGTTTCTCTTATCTGAATTGTTTCCTAGGCAGCATCTCTCCTCTTTCCTTAAAGCCAATAACGCATTCCATTAGAAATATTGATCTATATGGAGAATAAGCAGTGGCATTCTGGTTTGCTTTGATTCACTGAATGTATTGATAATATTTTGCATGCATCTACACATTTTACTGTGAAATTCCACTGAGAAAAAAACTAGTCAGGCAAGGATATTAGGTGCTTTGTAGCTTCATTTATGTGGATCAGTTTACTGTAATTTTCAAGAGGTTTGGATTTGGGAATTTGCTTTTCTGTACAGATAGTCCTTGACCTATGACCATAATTGAGCCCAGAATTACGGTTGTAAGTCATTGTGGTAGTTAAGTGAGTCACCAGCCCTATTTTTTTCCAGCATTTTTTTCAGCAGTCATTAAGTAGCTGTCATCCTTTTAAAATTGGGGGGGGGGGGAAATCCTCGCTAAGTGACCTACTGTAAGTCAAAGACTGTCTGCATTAGAGAGCATAATTAGAAGTTTCATGTATTATTTCAAAGATGATGCTTTTCAGTTGAATGTTTAAATGAAGTATTAAATGTTAAAGGATCAAGTAATAAAATGTTAAATGTGCCTTATCAAGTAAGCCCTTTCAACGGAATGAATAAACACAAACTTCCTTCCATTTTTTAAAATGATACTTTCAGTGCTTTTTATTTCAGTATAAAAGAGACTATGCAATTTATACTTTTTTTCTTTCAAACTATTTTATTGTATCAGACTAATTAACAGAAGAAAAAGCTACATGTGTATTAACAATATAGTGGAACATCACTATTAATAATTAAAATAATACGTTTATGAATTTTTGTTCAGTGACAATTAAAAGAACAATGACTTCTAATGGTGCCATAAGAGATTAAGGTTTTTATTTGCCAACTATATCATCTGCATGTAAAGAGGAATATTTTTATATGCCATTGTTCTGGTAGATAAATCAGACAGAGTTAGTGAAAGAGGAGTCAGAAATGGAGTGAATATTTTGGAAATGGTAGTCATTAATACAATAATTAATGTCATATTCACAACCATTTATTATTATTATTTTGTATAAAATCCATTTTTTAAAAACAGTACTTTTTGGCACTCTTTACTTATGTTGTAGTCTTACATACTAGATTTTCCCCCTAGTCTTACTTCCTCATCCATTCATCGAAATTTCCCACAAACAAATTATTATTAGCTTTTATGACTCTGAACTGTGTAAATAATGCATCATTAGTAATATATTGTAAGAAAACTGAGCTAAGTGTATCAGTGGTTTGCAGCTTTCTGTTTTATGACAAAATAAAATACCATCCATGCAAGTATGAAATATAAATCTGAACCATTTTAGTATCCTTATAATTTTCACATAATTGTACACAATAATAACACATAAGTCCGAGTATTTCTTACTCTACTGAACAAACAGTGTGGTCTTAGAAGGATTAGAATTCAAAAAAAGTGAATATTTGATATCTGAAGATGCTCCTGAAATAATGAGCTGTTAATTGACAATTATTTTGTTCCTAATTATTAACACTAATAATTTATTCCAAAGGTCACAGAACTTAAAGGTCTTGCCACTCATATTTTGGTTGGAAGTGTTACTTGTGAAACGAAAGACTTATTTGCCGCTCAGCCTCAGATTGTCGCTGTGGATATCAATGACCTTGGCACAATAAAGCTGAATCTGGAAATCACTTGGCAGTAAGTAAAGCTGGTTTTATGGAGAGCCATCATCATTTCAAATCAACTATTGTTCCAATAACAACAGCAAAGAAAATAAAATTATTGGATATACCTCTACTGAACTGGCAAACCAGAGTTTTTAAGGAGCTAGATGGTATTTTAGGTTAACTTTTGAGATGGCACCCACAGAATATATGCACTCTTCTGATATGAAAATGTGAAATGAGAATATATACAAGGATGCTATTTTGTGAATCAATTTTACATTGTGCAGAACTTCACTAGAAAAAAACTGAATTGCTTGTGCCGTAATATCTTAAGTGAAAAGAAAACCTTGTAATTCAGCAGAATAATGGTTTAATGATGATTCAGTCTAATAATAGATTTATACTTTTGCAGTCCATTTGATGTGGAGGACATTACCCCATCAACAGGCAACACAAACAAAGTGTCAGCTATTCAAAGAAGGATGTCCATTTATAGTCAAGGCACTCCAGAAACACCAACTTTCAAGGATCAGTCATTCTTTGTAAGTAATAGCAAAAACAATTAGTGGCTAAGTAGCATGGTTTGGTCAATTTTGTTTGAGGTAACAAAAAGAGAGACAAAGGAAAAAGGGAGAATAGGCAAAGGTTATCTTTTCTATCCCTAACCTATTCCTTGATCCAGTGGGGAAGATTCTATAAATGAAAAGAACTTTCTGTATGTTATATGGCTAATGTGGATCCCACCCACTTCTTCTTTTAGGAAAGAAGGTGTAATATTTTCCCCTTATAGACAAAGGATCATTTAGGTGTGAGAAGCTTCCATAAAAACTCATTTAGTGTGTGCTTGGGTTCTGAAGAATTGCACTAAATTTTCTTATCAGTCTGTACTTTGTACACTTACAGTATATTTAAAAGATGATGTAATGAATTAATTGCCCCATTTTTTGCCTTAACACTTCAAGAAATGGCGACATCCTCCACAAGACAGTCTCCACTCTGCCATTTTAGAGACTCTGCAAGACGCTTTCTTTGACAAACTACGTTGCAGTCGCTCATTTAGTGATCTGCCATCTCTCAGGCTGAGGTCTAGAACAGGGCTAGAACAATATGTGAGTCCAGATAGTGTGATAAAATATCTTACTGCATTTCTTAAGCAGTTCCTCTATTTTTATGCATGTCCTAAATCCGATATTTTTCTTTCAGATCTAGCTTGTTTGCTGACTATTTATTTAGCAAATAACTATTGGCTCAAGTTGCTTATATAGTCAAATAAAACTCTGACTGGCTTTAGTTTTGCAAATTCTTTTTTAGAGAAAAGGCTAAAATAAGAAAGCACTTGTTATTTGAAATATTTTATGAGCATATTTATATATGCACATGGTTTGATATTTGTCCATAAACTATTTTTTGGCAGGAGACTAAGAAAATAAATTGGATGCAGTCTAAAGTGAAAAATTCGCACTTTATCTCCGTTGATTTCAGGCTGCAATATTGAAACTACTTAATTATCTTTGAGAAATTATGTTTAACTTCTATATTTCAGCATTGCTGAATAAAAGGACAAGATAATCCTCAGTATACTATATGGTATAATCCATTATACTGTAATACCAATTATATAATGACATATGACGTTCTGTTGGTGTGCATTTTGTTTCTTCAGCCTATTTTCTCTATATAAAATCTGGTCAGCAAAATAAAAGACTCTAATTTGTTCATAAAGATAATGAGTTTGCAATGCTCAAAAAGCATCATAATTGTTTTAGAACTTTTCTGTACACATTCTGGACTACTTCTGATCCTTCTTATTTTCTGGCTTTTTGACAGGTTTTTTTTAAATATCTTCCTATCACTTTAGAAAAGATCAGTAGCATAAAAGCTAAATGAATTTATTTCATAGTTCCAAATAGTCTAATTTCACAGAAGCAAATTGTGTCTTTTTTAAAAAAAATAATGCTTAACGTCAGCTTTGTTTAAAACTTGGTGAAATTTTAATTTTAACTGTTTTTATTATATTTGCAGTTAAATTTACCAGATGATGTTTTTGGAAATGGAACAGCAAAAAATGAGAAAAGCTCATTTTCTTTCAGTTTCAATGACATTACCAGTGGACATTGTACTACATCATATAGTTCAACAGACTCATCCTCTACCATAGATAATTCCAATCCTGAAATTATTGCCACAACCCCAGGCATAAGTTTATCCAAACCTGACACTGTGCACAATATTCATTCAAGCTGTGAAGACTCCACATCTGAATCCAACAACTTAACATCACAAGTGCATAGTGAAAATATGACCACAAATCTAGATTCTGAGCTTTGCCAAAGTTCTCCTCATTTGAGAGGCAACAGTGTGATTTTAGCAAGTAGTGCCTCAGAGTCACTTCTTCCGGATACAGATGAATTATCAGACGTCAAACCTGTAGAGCTGGATACCTTTGAAGGCAATATCACGAAGCAGCTGGTTAAAAGACTGACATCTGGAGAGGGGCCAATGACACCTGAAAAATATCATTGTGAGGGGTCAATTAGTGGAGAATCTGAAGGCTATAAATCATGTGTTGATGGAAGTCTAGAAGAAGCATTTCACGGGCTTCTATTAGCTCTTGAACCTCATAAAGCACAATTTAAAGAATTCCAGGAATTGGACCAAGGAATTACACATCTAGATGAGATCCTAAAAGTAAGTTCAGCTTCAAATAAGAAATCTCATTGTGAATAGAAGAATTGTTATTATGTAATCTTCAGTAATAAAACTAGCGTTTAGATAGTAGCGTTCCTGGTAGCAAGCATCAATTCAGCATTTACATTCAATAAGAATGACCAACAAAGAAACCACAAAATGAAAGGGCCAGTTCAAGTCTTTGTCTAATGAAATAATCTCAGAAAGATACTACTGAATTTTACTTTTGGCTGTTAAAATCTACAGTATAGATGTACTTTACACATAACAAAGAAAGAAGCCTTAAATGGAACAATATCATTAGATAAGCTAAAATAACAAAATTGTAACAAAATTGTGGGAACTCTGATGCGTTCTGCCCTCCCATTCCAGTAGTATGTAATGAGGTACTATGAGGAGCAGATCCACCAACTGAAATCTCAAAATCAGTCAGGTATGAGTGGTCAAGCTGAATTGAATAACAGTTTTCTTTCCCTTGTTTAATGTAAGTTGGCAGGTGGTTGGATAAACTTAACCCTGGTAAGTTCATGGATATTCTGATATAATTAATTACAGTACAGAAATGGTTTGTCAGTATTCTCTACTGGAATGTTTTTCAAGTATCTGTCCACAATTCTGTAATTTTTCTCATGGCCTCTCATCTAAATATTGACCAGTTCCAATCCTACTTATTGTTTACTGCTTTGCTTGTTTTTAAGATTAATTATTCCTCTGCCTATAGAAGAAAAGTTTGACTTTGAAGGAGATTTTACATTTTCCTTTCTCCCCCCTTTTATTTTGATGTAACTTAACTGACAGTTAAGTAATTCCATGTTGTTTTCGCATACAGCAGTATATACAACTAAGTCTTGGTTCCATGTCATAATAAATTAGTATGCCAAATGAACCAGTGCCAAATTGAATTAGTGATGTCATTGTGAAAACTCTTCTTATGTAGTAGAATACTACAGGGAGCACAATAAAGTGCCACTCATTATCATAAAGCTATTTTATTACCGTATCTGTTTGTAAATTGAATAGTTTAATTATAGATGTTACTAGAGAAATATCTGGAGATAATTCCTGGCATTTTTTTTACATCTCTATAAATTTAATTCATTTATGTAATCCATTTAATCCCATTTAACTGAAATGTATATTTATTTTACAATATAGTCAGTCACTGTCCTGTTATAATATTGCAGTATTGCTGTTTGAATAGCTCCTGAACTTCATTTTCAGACTAGTATTACAGAAGCTTTTCAGTGCACATACTTTTTCCAGATTTATAATTGGCCACTTTGATTGAAATGCATTAGCACTTCATTGGATAATCTTGGGTTAAATTTGTACTCATGTAACACTAGCATTCGATTTCAACTAAAATGTACTACAGTAATTACCACAGAATATGACAGCTCTGTTAAAGACCATTAAATGTTACATTTACACTCTTCAGTTTACGTTACCACATAAAGCGTTGTTTGTACAGGAAATGTAATTTTTTAAATTACCTTTATTAAATAGTTTTAAAACACTAAATAATTGAGTTTCTGATCTTCATTTTCTTCACCATATTTATGAGCAAAGGTAGTAAGTTTCATTTTTTTTACTTACATCACTCTTTTAAAGACTATTTTCTATGGATAGCGTACAACAATATTAAATCACAATTTTAGAATTCATTAAAAAGAATTAAAATATACAAAGAATAAGAGAATATACATTCAATATTTAATCAAGCAGTGAGCTGTCATTTTGACAGGAGTCACAGCCCTAAGCCAGCGTTTGTTTAATAAAATGCATATACCCATGTATAAACAGACAAATTTAGCATATTTTCAGTTTCTCTGACGCTCTCTCTCTCTCTCTCTCTCTCTCTCTCTCTCTCTCTCTCTCTCTCTCTCTCTCTCTCTC